CCACTAGCCAGATTAATAAAAAAGAAAAGAGAGAATAACCAAATTGATGCAATAAAAAACGATAAAGGGGATATCACCACAGATTCCACAGAAATCCAAACCATCATCAGAGATTATTACAAACAACTCTATGCACATAAACTAGTAAACCTGGAAGAAATGGATAAATTCCTGGACACCTGCATCCTCCCAAGCCTAAACCTGGAAGAAGCCGAAACCCTGAATAGACCAATAACATGGTCTGAAGTCGAGGCAGCAATAAAGAGTCTACCACCCAAAAAAAGCCCAGGTCCAGATGGTTCACAGCTGAATTCTACCAGACATACAAAGAGGAGCTGATACCATTCCTTCTGAAACTATTCCAGACAATCCAAAAAGAGGGAATCCTTCCCAAATCATTTTACGAGACAAACATCATCCTGATACCAAAACCCGGCAGAGACTCAACGAGAAAAGAAAATTTCAGGCCAATATCCATGATGAACATAGATGCAAAAATCTTCAATAAAATACTGGCAAACCGATTGCAACAGCACATCAAAAAGCTCACCCACCATGATCAAGTAGGATTCATCCCGGGGATGCAAGGCTGGTTCAACATACGCAAGTCCATAAACGTAATTCACCACATAAACAGAACCAAAGACAAAAACCACATGATTATCTCAACTGATGCAGAGAAGGCTTTTGACAAAATTCAACAACGCTTTATGCTAAAAACCCTCAACAAACTAGGTATTGACGGAACGTATCTCAAAACAATAAAAGCTATTTACGACAAACCAACAGCCAATATCATACTGAATGGGCAAAAACTGGAAGCATTCCCTTTGAAATCTGGCACTAGACAAGGATGCCCTCTCTCACCACTCCTATTCAATATAGTACTGGAAGTTCTAGCCAGAGCAATCAGGCAAGAAAAAGAAATAAAGGGTATCCAAATTGGAAAGGAGGAAATCAAATTGTCTCTATTTGCAGATGACATGATTGTATATCTGGAAGACCCCATCATCTCAGCCCAAAATCTCCTGAAACTGATAAACAACTTCAGCAAAGTCTCAGGATACAAAATCAACGTGCAAAAATCACAAGCATTCCTATACACCAGTAATAGACTTCAAGAGAGCCAAATCAAGAACGAACTGCCATTCACAATTGCTACAAAGAGAATAAAGTACCTAGGAATACAACTAACAAGGAACGTAAAGGACCTCTTCATGGAGAACTACAAGCCATTGCTCAATGAAATAAGAGAGGATACAAACAGATGGAGAAACATTCCATGTTCATGGTTAGGAAGAATCAACATCGTGAAAATGGCCATACTGCCCAAAGTAATTTACAGATTCAATGCTATTCCCATCAAGCTACCAATGACCTTCTTCACAGAACTGGAAAAAAACACCTTAAACTTCATATGGAACCAAAAGAGAGCCTGCATAACCAAGTCAATTCTAAGCAAAAAGAACAAAGCAGGAGGCATCACACTACCGGACTTCAAACTATACTACAAGGCTACGGTAATCAAAACAGCATGGTACTGGTACCAAAACAGAGATATAGACCAATGGAACACAACAGAGGCCTCACAGGAAATACAACATACCCACAACCATCTGATCTTCGACAAACCTGACAAAAACAAGCAATGGGGAAAGGACTCCCTGTTTAATAAATGGTGTTGGGAAAACTGGCTAGCCATGTGCAGAAAGCAGAAACAGGACCCCTTCCTGACACCTTACACCAAAATTAACTCCAGATGGATTAAAGACTTAAACATCAGACCTAATACCATAAAAACCTTAGAAGAAAATCTAGGCAAAACCATTCAGGACATAGGTGTAGGCAAGGACTTCATGACCAAAACACCAAAAGCAATGGCAACAAAAGCCAAAAAGACAAATGGGACCTAATCAAACTCCACAGCTTCTGCACGGCAAAAGAAACAGTCAGTAGAGTGAATCGGCAACCAACAGAATGGGAAAAAATTTTTGTAGCCTACCCATCTGACAAGGGGCTGATATCCAGAATTTACAAAGAACTAAAGCAGATCTACAAGAAAAAAACAAACAAGCCCATTCAAAAATGGGCGAAGGCTATGAACAGATACTTTACAAAAGAAGACATACAGGAGGCCAACAAACATATGAAAAAATGCTCATCATCACTGGTCATCAGAGAAATGCAAATCAAAACCACATTGAGATACCATCTCACACCAGTTAGAATGGCAATCATTAAAAAATCGGGAAACAACAGATGCTGGAGAGGATGTGGAGAAATAGGAACACTTTTACACTGTTGGTGGGAATGTAAATTAATTCAACCATTGTGGAAGACAGTGTGGCAATTCCTCAAGGACCTAAAAATAGAAATCCCATTTGACCCAGCAATCCCATTACTGGGTATATATCCAAAGGATTATAAATCATTCTACTACAAGGACACATGCACACGAATGTTCATTGCAGCACTGTTTACAATAGCAAAGACCTGGAACCAACCCAAATGCCCAATGATGATAGACTGGATAGGGAAAATGTGGTACATATACACCATGGAATATTATGCAGCCATCAAAAACGATGAGTTCACGTCCTTTTTAGGGACATGGATGAACCTGGAAACCATCATTCTCAGCAAACTGCCACAAGAGCAGAAAATCAAACACCATATATTCTCATTTTAGGCGAGTGTTGAACAATGAGAACACATGGACACAGGGAGGGGAGCACTACACACTGGAGTCCGTTGGGGGGAAATGGGGGAGGGGCGGGGGGTGGGGAGGTGGGAAGAGATAGCATGGGGAGAAATGACAGATACAGGTGAGGGGACGGAAGGCAGGAAACCACACTGCCATGTGTGTACCTATGCAACAATCTTGCATGTTCATCACATGTACCCCAAAACCTAAAATGCAAAAAATATATATATATATGTTTCCCAAAACCAGTGGTTCCGTGGTTCCTTAATAATAATGAAGCAGATTTATTTCCATGGGATCAATCTAGTAAGAAACATGTAATTTATTTGTTTCTCTGAAAAGGAAACTTGCCCCTCTGGTAGAAGAATCAAAGTACTGTGATGCATTCAATTGGAAAACCACTGGATACCCCACTTCTGTTAAGAATATCTCATTCTCCTAGGCAACCATGAAGAACCTGCTGATTCCTTGAGAGTTCTTTGCCTTGCTAGAGTTCCTTTATTGATCATCAGATATATAGGGATGCTGAAATAGTTATGAAAGATAGAAAAACATTTACAGATTTTTCTTCTGTAAGTTAAGGTTAATAGCCAGAACCTATGCATAGACTACAAGGTGCCACACTTCCACTGGTGGCAACCCCTGTGCAATCCTGTCATTTTTAAGATTATTCATTTTAATGGGCTTCAAAGCCAATATGTAAATACAATCTTACTTTATACTCCTGAGTTAACAGCTCAGTTAAAGAACTATATCTTTGTCCATTCATTCACAAAAAACAATCAAATGTGTATTTGTTGTTTAACATCTACATGTGCATGAGACTTACAGCCACTCTATGTTGAATAGAGATCTCTGGACTCTCCCAATCACAATATTCCTGCTGGTAACATTCAATCAACTGCATGACCTGGCTTTGTGGCTCAGAGTTGTGAGAAATTTCTAAAAGTGTGCCCTTGATATGCCATATTATGGTGTCACCTATTCCAAGAACAGTTAGTCTTGAAAACTCCACTCCATCCATACTGTTGTTTTGGGTATGTTTTCATGGCGTAGCGGTTATCACATTCACCTGACATACTACTGGTTTCTCCTCTCAGCCTCTTTCTCTTTTTTCTCTGAACAGTTTCACATTTTCAGAGCATGATAAAATACCTATAAAAGTAGAAGAAACGACTCTGGCCCTATTTCCACCTACCTACCTCTTCAAGGCAGATCCCTATGGATATTAACTAAATATCTACATATTAAGGTTTAAAATAAGCAACACAGTCATGTCACTTATAATTTGGGTTATCCTCCAAATTAGAAAATCAGATAAAGTGATGATAAAAAAAAACTCAGTAATGGCTTTGTTAGAAGAAATTTCATATTGTTTTCATTTCCCAAGCAAAAAATAAATAAATCTAGTAAAGAATTTGGATAAAATATTAAATAAAAATAAATAAGTAAATAATACAATAAACTTTTTAAAAACCAAAACCAAATAAAAAAGAGGCCAGGCATGGTGGCACACGCTTGTAATCCCACCACTTTGGGAGAATGAGGCTGGCAGATCGCTTGAGGTCAGGAGTTGTGGGTAACCCCCCATATAGGCACCAAGGAATGAGAGCTAAGCAGAACCCTGGCACAGTTACAGTTTGAGGAATATCTCACTTTATAGTGTTACTACTCAGCTATTTCCTTTTATATAATCCTTTACATAATCATATATTAGTTTATAGAAATAGGGCTTGTAGGCTCCCTTTATATAATCCTCTATTATAATCATATAATAGTTGATAGTATGAGTGCCTAAAGAATATTTCCTTACATATATACCTATAATTATATCTTACTTCATAATTGGAGGAATGCCTAGAGTGGACACAGTACAGAACATGAAATAAGGAATAAGCAGCTTATAATCAGAGGAATGCCTAGAGCAGACACAGTGCAGAGCATGGTTTAAGGGAAGACAGTTATACCAGGACAAGAATCCATGGCCCAGGCGGCAGCGTTCAGTATTGTAAAGATACCCGCTGTATGGCAGGCTTGGGGCGAGAGCCACTCCTCCTGATAAAGGAGTTGTAGGACCCTGCTCCAGTTCTTGTGGAAGGCTGCCCTCAGAACGGCAATCTGCCTTGGTGACTGTGAACTTTATCAGCTCTTGCTACTGCGCTGCTTGAAAAGCATCTTCCCATAGAAGCCATTGGAAGCTGCCAGAAGGTGGCGGTAACCTTGACAGCTCTGTCACTGGTATGTGACTTAAAGCATCCTCCTATAAATCTTCTTAGAAGTAGTTTCCCATAGATAGATGTATCGCACTCTGCCCCCTCTTACTGCATCTGGCCCTTGCCTTTGTGGGAACCGGGCCCTCGCCTTCGTGGGAACGGGCCCCTTGCTGCGTGCTGTCCGTCTCCTGGCCTAGGTGATCTAATGGGGGTGGACCCTATGTTTTATTGCTCACGACCCTATCACTATCCTTAAAGATGATTTCACTCACTGCCCTGCCCCCTAACCTATACACAATAAATACTCATGCTTCTGGACATTCGGGGCCTTGCCGCCTTGCCAGCCAGCCTCGCCTGACTCCGCTTATAGGTGCCGTGGCCCCCTGAGCCCAGCTTCGTTTTCTTTGTACTTCTGTGTCTTGTCTCTTTATTTCTCAGATCCTGCGCCTCAGCACAGCATAAGGCTCACCCCACGACCCTGTGGGGCACTTAGCCTTACATCAGTCTCCCAACGTGCCCTACAAGCAGTACAAGACCAGCCTGTGCAACATGGCAAAACTCCTTCTCTACTAAAAGTATACAAATTAGCTGGGCATGGTGGTGTGCGCCTGTGGTTTCAACTATTTGGGAGGCTGAGGTGGGAGGATCACCTAAGCCTTAGAGGTTGAGGCTGCAATAAACCAAGATCATGCTACTACACTCCAGCCTGGGTGACAGTGACCTCTCTCTTTCTCTCTCTTTCTCTCTTTCTCTCTCTCTCTCTCTCTCTCTCTGTGTGTGTGTGTGTGTGTGTGTGTGTGTCTCACTCATAAACACATACACACAGATTATTTTTAATAATATTTTAGTGTGTTTTAAAACACATGTTCACATTGTTATTGAGTTCATGGTTTTAGGTAAAGTCACAGATATTTATCTGTTTAATACAATTAAATTTTCACATATCCCTTCCATGGTTTCTTTTGCAGAAGAAATTTGTATGTACTAGACTACTTCTGTCACTAAACCCTTACCCAGAGTTTTAACAGGAAGCTATCTGCTGCCCCAGGTTCACAACTTATGACTCATTCTGCTTTAATAAATTGAAAAGACTGTGTTGCAGAGCTAATTAGGCAACTGGCTATCATTAGTGTTGTAAAGTCTCTTGCCAGTTTGAATTTTATAAGTGAAGTTGGTGCGATGATTCCAGCTCGCTTTCTAGCAGACATTATGCATTATTAAGCTGTGTTTGGCCCACCTCAGCAATTAACTTACTCTCCAAATATACTGTTATTATCTAGTTTCCCCAAAAGCAGATAAAAAGATTGGAAAGCCAACCAATTCCAAGTCATGACATAGATAACTCACTAAACTATGTGGGAAGCCATATGGCGTATGCATGTTTTAGTCAGAAACATCTCACATCAAACCCTAATTCCTGATGAATTTTAGATGTATCCCATGGCACCACCCATTTAGTTATTGGTAGCAACTGCTATATTTATATTAAGATCTACCAGGACCAGAGAACTGTGGCTGAAGAGAAAACAGAAGTAACATATATTGTGCAAAGTAAAACTCCCCTTTTAGACTTGTTATAGATAAGAAAAACCCAAAATGTTTTTCCTAACCACTTAAAATTTCTGAGAACAAACGTGTGGAGTTTTCTTCCCATGCACCAACCAAGCAATTCCCCAGTGGACACCAGCTGGGAGTCCTCTAATTCAATTCAATTGACACTGTCTTCCTGGAGAGAGTATCAGCACAGCAAAACAAAAATATATACATCTACACATACACACGTGAAAGAAAACTGATGAGGACTGAGCTGACTAGGGAATGATTTTTTTATATCATGATTCTAGAGGGTGCTTTTTTGTATAAACTTAATGGGTACAAGTGCAGTTTTGTTACACTGATATATTGTGTAGTGGCTTCCAGTGTAGCCATCCCCTAAATAATGTACATTGTACCTGTTAAGTAATTTCTCATCACCACCCTCATCCCACCCTTCCACCCATCTGAGTCTCCAATGTCTATCATTCCCCCCGGAGGTCTAGCACATCAGGATTCCTATTATAATGCCTTCCAGCTTAAAGCTCTCACTTACTTCTTATTTCCTAAGAGGGGTTAAGAAACCTTTTGTTGAAAGGTGCAGATAATAAACAGTTTTGTAGGCCACAAGTTTTCTGTAGCAACTAAATCAATTCTGATATAGTGGAAACTGTCAGCCACAGACAATACCTAAATAAGCATAACTGTGTTCCAATAAATAGGATGTGGCTTGAATTTAACATTTAATATTCTTTTCTCCATTAGAAAAGGACAATCCCAAATAAACTGGATTACCAGGGTAAGAGACAAACAATTCAATTTCAGTTATTTTTAAAGGGCATTTGAAGAAACACTATATTTGATTCTTCCATCTGTAGAGTGATAAACAGACTTCTATAAAGACTGATTAACCTATCTAAGGATTTACATAATTATATTGAGGTACAAACTATTCATTTAGTACATTTAAGCAGAGTAGTATAAAATTAGATGTTTTACTCTTTTTCTTTGCAAACCATGCATCCCAGAAGGGAGTGAGACTCTGTGGCAGGGTCTGAATTGAAAGAAACAGGAAAACAAGAGCTATAATGTTTCTGCTACAATATTCTCTAGCTCCTTTTATTAACTGCTCAGTTTTAGATTTCTAACCACCGTAAACACATTATTACAGCCAGGACGCAGATTGTTGTAGCAAGGTAGTTCTCTCAGGGAGTGGGGTGTGGGGAGTGGGGAGTGGGGGGTGGGGGATTGGCTGGTGGCAATTGCATAGATTCCATACTGTGAAGAACAAGGAGAAAGCCTAGATTTTGAAAAGGTTTTCTTTGGAATATTGCTGGTCCCTCATTTGAAACAAAAGAGAAAATCAGCATATCTCATCATCTAATTCCTTTGATGGCAAGCCATTTTATTATTATTACTTTTAACTTGGTGTATGATCCAAAAAGAGACTTTTAGAGAAGGAGTCAAAGATCTTAGTTCGCATTTCAGCTCTACTATGTTGCTCTAGATAAAGTCTCTCTACTTTTGCATTTCAGTTTCTTCACTTATAAAACTGTAATCAGAACACTAACCCTGTCTACTTCTGAGGATTAATGTAGTAACCAAATAAAATTATTTGTGTGAAAGGGCTTTGAGAAGGTACAGGAAATAAATATTATCCACTTCCCAAATCTGAAATAATTTTGTTTACATGTAGTCATTCAGTACCTTGAAAACCCACATATTTTATCAATAAGAAATGCTTTTAACTATAAGTGTCAATATCCAAATAACAATTGCTTATACCACAGGGGCATTTAGTTTCAATTAAAATGGAGTCATGGGTCCAATAGAAGTTTCTTTCTGTTCTGAATTTTTCTTAAGGATTTTTTCACCTACTTGCATGTTACCACCTCCCTTTTCCCAGTAATAAAATGACTTTCTAAGCTCCAGAGAAGCATCATGTACACATATAAGGATGGGAAGATGGGCATTGGCTAGGGGGAGATATCCAGCTCTCTTTTTGTACCTTACCATTCCGTCTAGAAGCTATCTTTTTCAGGAATTTCCCTATTAGATTTCTTTTCACACATCTGTGTCCAGAATTAGATGATGTGCCCTCGCCTGTGGTGACGGAGACCTAACTTTACAGCTTATAAGATGGGAAGGCTGCAAGTGATAAACGAGTAAGAAATGGCTTTGGAATAACCAACCAATGAAGTCTGCTACATCTTAACTACAGAAAGTTTGTATGTCTCCCTCATCATGTAACCTCAGATCTCACAGTTGCTGCTATTGATTCAGATTCTCACATGATTCTATTTTTTGTTTAAACAACTATAACAAGGTGACTTTACTGGCCCAAGTCCCTTCCCAAGTCTTATTTGGGGTATGAAGTTGGTTTTTAGTTGTGCCCTTTGGTCTGAGCTATTATTAACAAAAACAAACAAATAAACAAACAAAAATTATTTTATGGAGATTGAAGCATCAGCCTGATCATGTTAAGTAATTATTTCTCACCAAAAATTCTTTGACCCTCTTTGTAAGACAAAGTTAGTAGCCTATCTTATTTTTTTTCAGGATTATTTTATTACAGGAGCCTCATTGGCCTGTATTTTTTTAACTAGGTTAGAGAACAGAAGGTTATATTATAAAATTATCTCCTATACCACTTTGTTTATAAATACAAACTGAATGATGACTCCCTACTCATTCTTCTCTGAATAAAGATGACTTGAATCAAGGTAAATTTCTATGCCTGCTCTCAAGATAAAGCAGGTGGCAATGGTTTTCTTTCCATCTCTCACTCCTTCAAAACAAAATTATTCCTGTTTCATCTGGGCTTCTTATTTATGATGTGCTTATTAAACCATTTTCTTTTGCATTAGTGACAAAACCTAAATTAGAATACGGGAAAACTCAGTTCTGATCAGTCATTGAAACCAAAGTGGTTTCTTCCTCTCCTCATCCTGCCCTTCAGAATTCAATAAGAGTCAGAAAATAACTCTATTCATATGTACATGGCTGTGGAACTTGTTCATTGTCTTAGAAGCAGTTCTAAAAGTGGGTTGAGGAAACTAGTGTGGTAACCACAAGGAATAATAATGAGATTTTGCAACCCCATAGATGCCTCTGGTATACTTCATTAACCTTGAGAGGCTTTAGGAAATGTCTCTAGAATAATAAAACAAAAACATATTGGCCAGTGTTCAACCTTGCATACTGAATCCAAGGAGCTCATTTTCTCCTAACTCAGGTAGGGAACATTTGGAAAAAAATTAGGAAATCTTTTCTTTTTTCCATGTTAATGGAAACAACATATTATTTTCCTCATAGAGGAGTTATGCTCAAATTGTCTGGGATAATAGAAAGCAGCGTCTCCATGTATGTCATGAAGAAATCTCCACCAGAGCTGTTTCTTAAAGAGTATATCTAGACCTTGATTTTATTCTTTTTATGCAGAAACCCCTTCACCTTTTTTCTGGTATTTTTCTCTCCCTGTCCTACTCGGTGTTGGCAAAGAGAAGTTTACATCCTTCATTTCTTTATCCTTAACACTCTTCTTCAGCATGGAGTTAAAAAAACGGTTTAGTAAAATGTTAATTTATAATATTTACATTAAAAATATTTGAATCGTGTAATATAGAAATATTTTGTTGAATAAATA